TACTATTCACGGCCACGGCGACGTCAAAACTTTGTTTTGACTTTTCTCTTCCATCCGGACTCTGAATCAAGTGATTCTTGAGTCTAACTTGATTAATTTTTTGCTGTCTTCCCAGTGGTGTACTCGGTAGCACCTGATTTTATATTTTTTCAAAAATGACAATTTTGCCCTTGGGGCTATTTTTGTCCGGTTTTCTTGTAATTCACTTCTGCTACTTTCTTTTGAGTTCCGTGACTTCACAGAAAGTCATGGATGTGTCTCGAGAATAATTTACATTCTAGGGATGTCATTTCTATGTAAAATGACTATTTTGCCCCTGGGGCTTATTTATCATATTTTCAACCTTTTACTTCCGCATCAGTTTTTATTGAGTTCCACGACCTCATGGAAGGTTACTTTGACTTCTTAGAGTCTTGTTTTCCGTTTTCTCTTTTGCATTTCGAATCCGTTATCGGATCATCCTTTTAGTTCATCACTGACGCACTGGCCTAAAAACCAAGGCCATCACATATATATATATATATATATATATATATATATATATATATATATATATATATATATATTAAGGTATATATGTATATACGAATGTTAGTATAGTTAATATTATTATTACTATATATGTTTTATTTTCCTTTTTCCTTTTTTTTTCCCTTAAGGTAGAAGAGTTGGGGTAGGATTAGGAGTAGGGTTAGATAGTCTTTATATATATGTGTATTATGGATCTGTAGAAGGGTTTTACATGCATATTATAGAGGCAGATTTAGAGGTGAGATACAGAGACTTTTAGAGAGGAAGAAACGCCACGTGAGGAAGAAAGAGATCGAACCAAGAGGAGAGGAGAGAGGGTTGTCTTGTGGGCTAGGACGCAAGTAGCAGAAGGCATTGAAGGCAACCCAAGGGTCGCCAGAAAGTAGAGAAAGAACTAGAGAAGGAGATTCGGGTTTTCAATTTGAAAACCTTAAGGCAAGTTCTTCTTCTAACTCTTCTCATTTGATTACGTGTTTTATACATGCCTAGGACAATTCTAAAATAATTAAACATTAAAATCGACTATGTTTGCATGCTTAAATGGATAAAAAATAGTGTATTTGTTTATGTGTATATGTTTGTTTGATTTTGAACTTTGATGCATGAAAACTTGTTTTAATTCGTTATATTAATGCATAATGGTTTAAAATAAATATTTAGGATCGTACGGGAGTTAGTACAGACACATAGGACCCTTAACGGAGGAAATTGAAGCAAGCAGAAATCGCCAGAGTTAGAGAAGATGACTCGCAGCAAGAACGAGTTGACTTAGTTCCAACTAAGTTGGCTTAGTTGCTAAACGAGTCGACTTAGTTGAAACCGAGATGACTTGATTGGTGAAGAAGCCGACTCATTTGAGAACGAGCCGACTCAATTAGAAACTGAGTCAACTTCTTCTCAACTTAGTTAGTTTCGAAGATTGGATTGATGTTTTAAATTCCCAGAAATTGTTTTATTATATTTTAATTAATTTAAATAGGCTAATTGGACTTGGAAAATTCCCAAAATGCATAAATTACTTAAATATGCTAAGGATTTGGATATTATGAAATTTGAAATAACTTATGAGTTGTTTAAATGGATGATTATTTGGATTTAAATTGTTTAACAATTACAAAAGATTATTTAAATGATTTTAATCATGATTAAGGAGATTTATACAATTTAATTGAGATGTAAGTTAACTGCATGCTAGTTAAATTGTTTATATTGCTTAATTATATGCAATAGATATCTGTATAGGTTATATCATGTTTTATTTCTGGATTATTTAATGTATATACATACTTACATAATTATTTGGATTGGAAACCTTTGTTTGGATGTGGTTATAGATTAATGCACCATTATTAGGATATGGGGGCATATTATGGATGGACTAGCTAATAAGTTAAGTCTCATCTATTCATGTCAGGTCACGGAACCATGTGGATGATATGCCATTGAAAGATTATGGCAGATAGTTTATTTTATATTTTAGATAAGATATATATATATATATATATATATATATATATATATATATATATGGGCCATGATATGAGCTTGAGTTTTCAGGATTAATGGTTAGGGAGTGTATATTGCTTGGGATGCATAGCTGGATATAGTGGATAGTTGTGTGCCCTCGTAGATCATGGTTCTCATACCTACTATGTGTGCGTTTTGCATGTTGTCTATTATCCAGTTGAGGCTGCCCTATAGTCCAGTGAGAGTCCTTTAGTGTGTATCTATATATATACGGACTATGTGGTTATTGTATGAGTTGACTAGGATGTATATGTGTATCGGGTCTCTATTTGGGATATAGTAGAGTTGAACTTGTTCGTGGGCCTGACTCATTATTATTTTTCAAATGTTCGTCGGGTGTAGAGATTGTTCATGTAGAACATAGACCATTCTTCATCACTCTTCCGATTATCTACATAGGATTCTACTTTATGCTTTCAGACTTTGGATTTAGTTATTTATTTTAGTTATTGTTTTAGTTGGGATTTTATTAGGGGTCTACATTATGGATTCCCGAGTTGTAATCTTGAGGATTATTAGTATCAGAGTATTTAAAGGATTATTTTATTAGGATATTATTTTAGAGAATTTAATATTAGTTTCCTTTTAGTTTTATTATTTATTATTTATTTATCTTTTGTAATCCGTGTTTGTTTATTACCTTAATTGTTTGATTATCTCTCGGTGTTGTGCGGACCTGATCAACCCGTGTTTTGAAATCGAGGGGTATCACAGGCGACATAGAAACAAGGTGACCCATGCGGTGACAAAGCTTTCTAGAAACCATGTTGTTGAGGATTCAATCTTGATTTTTATCCTATATGACATTGTTTATTTGGCATGGCAGGAAGAGATATGTATGAATAAGTAGTGTTGTGTGGGTATCTTTGTGTATTGGTTTCTGTTTGTTTATCAGGAAAAAAACACACGAGCATTTCGGAAGATGCAGAGTTTAAGTTCCCACATAAGCATTAGTTGCCACGAAAAAGAGAGGGTAATTTACACAAACCTTCCCTATGGTTTGTCATAATTACATAAACTTCCCCTGTAATTTGAGAATTTACTCGAATCTCCCTTAAAAATGAAAATATCCTACGTGAACCTCCCCTTATGTTAGAGTAAACTTTAGTCAAGGATGGAATATGATGATGTTACTACAAATTAAATGAAATTCCCAAAATACCCTCATCTTCTTCATTATATATACATGTGTGTGAACTGCGTATATTATATGCATTTACAGACCTCGGCTCAACCAATCCAATTATAGGCTCTTCAAAGTGTCTCGAACGTGGCCGAAACAACAACATATGCTCAACGAGGCAGCCCCATTGCAGTTATTTTTCCCATCTTTGACAGCTCTCAAGAAGTAAACCCCCAGTTATGCCATCAGTGAGTTGGGAAAAGGTTATGACCTAACTCCAACACTTCTAGGTACCTTGGGTTATAGCAGGCATCTTGCTCGGGTTAAACCCCCACACATTGCAAAAGAAAGGGCCAGCAATAAGATAGGACAGCAGACGCAACCAAGTAAGATGCACGCAAAATACACATTGGCCATTTTCAAGGGCGTACAACTGTCACTCTAAGCAGGGTTTATCTCTGTTGTGTTGGCGCGAGAGAGCACGTAATTAGTAGAATTGATTGGTGCATGAAGCCGGCTCGTTGCGGGTGGTTGGGCTCCCTCCTATTTATGTGTCCAGGTATGAGTTTAGGCCATTCAAAGAACTCCTCAAAATGATCCAAATTTTACCTGTCTTGATGCCTTGCAACTTCTTCTTTCTATCCTTTTTGCTTAATTATCTAGGGAAGAAATCCAACTTCTGTTTGAAGCAGTAGGGCATCAGTCAAACTTTCCAGTCCGTTGGAATCTTCGTGGCAGTCAAACTTAGATTATGGTAAGAAAGATCATTAACAGACCTTGGCTGAACCAATATGAGAAATGCAATCTTTCCAAATAACATATATAGATATGCTAGCAAAGAATTTGAATCAAATTATAGACACACATGTTAATTTGCAGAGAGTGAATTTCATCCAAGTATATTGACTTGGATGCAATCTTCCCAAATTTATGCACTGATCTAAAATCATCCAATTGAATTCACAATTTAGACCAAGTGCGAAGGTAATCGGAGATGAACGATCCACAAAAATCGTCCACTGACAAATTGTGAGTGGCTTTGATTGATTATTCTGCTTTAACCCGAATCGCTACCCTTACAATCGCTGCCCGTCGCTGGAAGCATCGCCTTTCACTCCGTTCTTGCTCGCCGTTGCTGGTATTTGTCACCGGAACTTGCAGCTTCCATCTCTCGAAATCAAACTGAACCATCGCTGGATTCCTTATTGCCCACCGTTCAGACTTTGTTCGTCGGCATTGTTCATCGCCATTGTCGAAACTGCTATCCTCGTCGCCGCTCTTGAAAGCAAGATTAAACCCAGAATCTCATATTTGAAAGCAAGATTAAAGATAACCCAACAATCAATATAGTCTCAATTATCTCAATTTAGTCATACCTAAATCTCACAAGTCACACGGCCCTTAAATCCTACAGATTTGCAGCAAACAATCTGGATGTGGTGGTGGTTAGCCAGATGGGGGCTGTTAGTGGTCGGCTGTGGTGGGGATCGGCCATTCACTGTACATGGAAACACACACACACAAAGATGGAGGAAAATAATTATGGTGGTGGTAGTGGCGGCAGTGGCTCCTATGGTGGTTGGTGGTTTTTTTGGTGGAGATAGCAATGATGGCTTTTTTTAGTGCAGATGGCGGCGGACCAACTTCGGTATTTTTATTTTTATTTTTACACTATTTTATACGCGTGTGTATGTGCACGGGGTATTTCAGTCATTGCATTTTAATAAACGAAAAAACAAAAAAAAAAATGGCACACGGGTGGAATGCAAAACGGGCGCCCCAAATCCTATGAGCAAAACGGTGGCTTCCCCGAACAGTGTATATTTTAGACACGAGCCTTTCTTTACTAAGCCAGAGACGCCGCATTCGCAGTTATGCTCTCTTCTTCTCAGTACACTCTTCATCTTCAACTAATGGCTGTTCTTTAACAACCGAATGTTGAAATATTCTTTTCGAACCTCTTCTTCTATGGCCTCTGTGGCTCTTCATTCCTCTCGAATTTCCAGCCCCTTTCCTCTCGCTGTTCCGTTCTTCACTCGCTCCTTTCGACTTCTTCCCAAGCGTCAAGACCTCACTCTCCGCCGCCGTAACTTTTGCCGGAGCATCAGTTTCTTCACTGCTTACTCGCGTCAGCGCTTCTCGACCGTTGCTTCCAGCTCTACGGGTACGATAATTGTAGCTCTTCTTTTTGTTATTTCTCTCAAGCATTTTATCGAGCATGTTTGTAGTGACCTGAAAAATCTGATATGGTCCTTTTAGTTGCTGAGAGAAGTGAGAAAAAAAAAAAATGAATTTTAATGATTAATTATGGATATATTCCGTTTTTAACTCAAAAACAACATATAAGTACAGAACGTATTCATCTTTACCATTGTGTTTCTCATTGTCCAAGTTACGAAGATTAGGCCCTGTAAGCGTCACACTCTTACTGAACCATTGCATGTCGTTTCTTATATTTAATTGTGTTGATTTATATGAAATTTTTATGGAATTGAGGAGATATTTGTAGAATATAGAAATATATAAGATATTTGGAAGGGATTCTAGTGTTTTTCCTCAAGTATGTGGGATGTTTAGGAGCCTCATCCCCTTTGATCTTAGCTGTCCATTGTGTAGGAAGGTGCCCGCAATTAGGTAAGGATTTCCATTTGCAACAACCGAGTAGCTCGGTGTGAGTGAGAATGTCCTTAGGGTATCTTTAGCATTAATGCTTGGATTGGATACAAATGTTTTTTGCAGACAAGAATGTGTGAGTGTGCATGCCATTTGAGGGTGACGACAACTACCAAAACCACATGGGTTTAGGTGGACAAGTATTTGATGAGCAGGGACCAACACCTTGGTTACGCGTAGGTTCTGCTAGAGTACCATTGACATATAAGAGTAGGTTTTACTGCAAGAAAAGCTTAGAAATTAAAGATTGCTGCATACAGGAGACTTTGTCAAAGGAGACGACATGACATGCTTTGGGGTAGGCAGGGAGTCTGACCACCCTTTCATGGACTTGAAAGGGGTCAGTGACAAGCCTTAGGGGTTCATTTGTGACGGAAAGGGCAGCCTTGATGAAAGGATGAAAGCAATATAGAAAGTATTAATCTTATTGAGAGAGCAACTAGATGCTCGATTTTCCAAGACTCCAAAGAAAACTAGGTGGGTTCATTTGACTATGACACGCCCTTGGGGAAAAATGGTCCAAAGGTTTGATTTTGGTAAAGAGAACAACCTTGCAAGTAGGAGCTTGCAAAGTGCAGAGAGGACTTGTCTAAAAAAAGAGAGTTTGCTGCCACTTTGAAAATTAAGGTGCCAAAGCCTGAGCAGTAAGATGGGCGAGGGATGTTGCTAGATAGACAACTGATTCTGGATGGATGATGATGAATAGAATACACAAACAATAATAGTGTAACTCACATACATTGCTGCACTATGGTGGAGACAACTCTTGATAGGTGGGGCGCATGAGCAATCAAGACTTGGGCTAAATTTAAGATAAGAATCAAATTGCAGTTATACAGTGAGAGTGGTGCATTTGATGATGATCAACTTGAGGCACCTTAAGTAAAAGGGGTATGCGAATGAGTGTGTCAAGGAATACTCAAATGTTGGAGATCTCATGAATGACTAATCGATAACACATCTTTACTTTTGAACGCTTTCTAATACATCTTTACTTATAAAAAAAAAAAACATTTATGATTTTCATCAATGGGTTGCAACCTTGGTGGCAATAGAGTTGATGAGACATGAGCTGCTAAACTTGGCATATGCCATGACTATAACAGAGCAACTAGATCACTTTAAAATAGAGAATAGGCTGATGTTTACAAGAAAGTGTGACAAAGATGGGGAGATTGGAGGCATAAGAAAGCCGTCTCTTGGAAAACAAAATATGACGAGAGCAATGATGATGACATGCACCAAATCATGATAGGGCAAGGACCATGGGCAATGGTCTAAGTCCAATGAGAGGGGCAATCGTTGTGACAGGGGATAGCATGAGGTGAAGTGGTTCTTATGTGATGCTTCTCACATAGTGCAAGATTGTTGAGATAAAAAAGAAGAATACTATAGTGAAGAAGGGCAAAGAGGAGTATTCGTTATCATGTAGTGTGGAGAGTGACATATGTATGTGAACATATAGGTGTTTTTTGAATTTTGTGGATAGCTTAAAGTTATAGCGTCGTTGTGAATGATTTCTGTTTTCTTTGGGAGCGCTCCCCTTTTAGGCGCCTTTAATGAAATCTTACTTATCGAAAAAAAAAAAACATATGGGTGTTGAGCAGCATGCCATGAGATACTAAGAGGAAGAGTAAGAAGAAGATCTAAGGGATGTGGTATGTCAATGTGGAGGAGGACGGCAAGGTCATGAAAGCTTTAATGGACATAGAAACCACAAATAAGTATTAGTTTGTGAGAGTTTTAAAGGTTGGTCCTTTAATCTCACAGGACGGATTGTTGGTTTAAGGCTTTCAATTTTGAGGAGACACTTTTCCATTGGATTTGCAAGGCCATTGAGCATGTACAGATGAAACGAAAAAGCAAGAGCAACGTCAATGTAATCAATATAATGATGATGATGATGATATGGTGTTGAGGTTGGATTTCACAGACAAGAACAATGTAAAATCCTTTACTTGCTTGGGGAGTCCTCTATCTCACTCAAGTGCTAGCGAGTCAGCATTTTCTCCTTCCTCTCCCTAATGTGAGTGCGATCAGGCTATGGGCTATCCTAGCAATAAATTATTGAGTAGTGCTGCATTCTCGAGCCTCGTTGATCTAAAACTGGGGCTGGGTTCGGGTAAATTCCTAACAAGCTTTTGTTCATGCTCAAGCTCAGCAAATTATAGTTGGACAACCAAAGGACCAATTGGCCCAGCGGTATCACCCCTTCCTTTCCAAAGGGGAGGTCGGGGACCATGTGGAGGTAGGGTGTGTGCGTAATTACTTTAACTTCCAAATATATATATATATATATATATATATATATATATATATATAGTTGGACAAGCTCTTCACTGAATTGAGGCTGAGCTATTAATTAGTGCTCTATCCATTTGCTGCCCTTCGTAGAGCTTTTGAGTTCATAGGTGACTTATTATCTTGCTTTCTCTCATGAAAATATGCTCTTCTTTGTTGGGAAAAAAAGACTTTTATGTATTTATAACCTACAAAGTTAACATTATCCTACATACTCCCGTTTCTTAAACTTATGCATCTTAACTTCAAAATTTCATCTTGATGCATGAAAACTAACCTGACGTCAGGCACGAGCATGAAGTTAGTTGGAATATTCTAGAGGAATTTTTTTATTCAATTATCATACAGAATATTAATCATTTTGCATAATGGAAGGTCATTTTAAATCTTTGTCTAAGGTGGCTTATACATATTGGACTTCTCTATGATCTCTTTACATATGTGATTCTAGATTATTGTTGTTGGCTTTGATATGTTTATATCTTTTTGGTATCTTCAACATTAACAAGTCTTGGGAGTTGGTGAGACTGTTACTTTCGTAATGTGAATATTTCAAATCACTATTATGACTGAAGATTCCACAATTGTGCAGACTGGAATTTTAATGCTAAAACGGTTGACGAAATATATGATGTCATAGTGGTAGGAGGTGGACATGCAGGCTGTGAAGCTGCCCTTGCATCTGCTCGTTTAGGAGCAAAAACACTTCTTCTCACACTAAACATTGATCGAATTGCTTGGCAGGTTAATATATTGAACTTTATTTATTGTCATTAAGTAATTTCTTAGTTGTTATTAATAAAATTTTATGAATGATAATTATATATAAATCTAGTTTTTTTTCTTCCTTTCTTTTCTTTCTTTATTTCTGTTGTTTTAACTTCATTGGCTGCTTGGAAGTCACCTAACATATTTCTCTCCTCTCTTTTGGTTGTTTGTGTGGGAGATTAAATTTCTAGAAGTCGAATTGATGGGATCTACTGAAATCATTGGAAAAAAAAATTATATTCTGAGTTATGTACTCACTTGGCTTGCTATTCAAACCGAAAATTTACAAACCAACCCTTCCTCGGTAACTGATGCAAATAATTAATGGTGCTTTGGAGTGTATCTTGAAAAAGTCAAAGAGTCATTCTTGTTTTTGGGTACTAAGTAATTAAACTTTGGAATTACCAAGTCTTCTTGAACCAAACAGAAGATTAGGGTATGGCTACTCCAATCAACGTTGGAGCCTAGATTTCTGAAGGGAAATCTGGGGAAAGCCTGAGGTATAGTCTATAAACTTATAATATTTCAAAATTATATTAATTAACTACTAATGACTCTTGACTTATCATAAAATGACTGTTACAATCCCCACATAGCATTAATAACATTTTAACCACTTTCCTAAGGAAACTCTCAGTAATTCTAACACTTAATTACTTGATTCCAAAAAACAAGAATGACCTTTGACTTTTTTTTCTGTACACATTCCAAATCATCATTAATTATTTGCATCAAACCCTCCTCGTTGAAGAAAACTTGCCGTCGAGTCCGAAACAATTTACCATGATCAATTAAGAACCCTAATGAAGCCTTCCATCTTTTCGTACTTCTTTCCATACTTGATCATAGCACAGTAAGCTTTTGTTAATTACAAAGAATCCCTTTGAATAAATTTTCTGAGCTCTCTAGTCTCTTGTGAAATCTTTAATCTTGCTTGAAGATAAATCATGAACCAAAACTTGAACTAATTCAATTTTTACGTCGGAGCAACTCCTTGCTGTATGTCGCGCCAATAATCCATCCCAAATCAGGTCATGTATATTGAAATCTGTCAACTCCATGAATGAGGAAGCTTTCATTCTGACCAAATTATTATTATTTTTTATGAGCAGGTGTGGGTATAATGTTAAAGAGAGGAAGAATTGGTACAAGAGTTTAACAGTGAGGGCATTCCCTGACAACAAATGACAACAACCATAAAAAAGAATAAGACCAGTTCCAGTACATATGAAAACAAGAGAAAACAGAAGCTAAGCCCAATCTAGCAAGTAGCATGCACCACATCATGAAGAGAAAGACCAGCAGCATCCAAAATCTGAAACCAAGTGAGTTCAGTCTCAACAGCAGACCTCTGAACCCCTTGATGCAATCTAACATTTCTCTCATTCCAAATAGCCTATAAACCAGCTGAAAAAACCATTCTGCTAAGATTAGCTATGTATGTATCAGTAGCAAACTTCTTAATACACCACTCCACAAAGGAATCAAAAGATAAACCAGACATGTTCAAATTGAAGAGAGAACTAAACCACTGTCAAACATCTCTAGCAAACGGACGACCAAAAAAGATATGATCTCTAGAATCATCACTCTGGAAACAATTAACAAAAATAGAAGCATCTGTAAACCCCTTTTCTGAAGATTACAAAAAGATGGCAAATTGTCTTGTAAAGCTAAACAAGCAGTGAAGTTAGTCCCTGGTCTACTTTAATTCCAACAGACTATGCAGTGGGATCCCAGGCGTTTTATGCAAGCTGGACATTGAGAAGGCTTACAATCATGTTAGTTGGAGCTTCCTTCTCTATTTGTTGGAGAGGATGGGATTTGATGAGAGATGGAGGAGATGGATCGAGTTTTGTATTTTTAGTGTTCGTTTCTCAGTCCTTGTGAACAGCTCTCCGACGGGATTCTTTAGTAGTTCGAGGGGCTTGAGACATCCCTTTTTGTTCCTCGTTGTGATGGAAGCCCTCAGTAGATTGATAAGAAGGATTGTGGATTTGGGCTTCTTGCGAGGTTTTCGGATGGGCAGAGACGTTTCTAGTCAGTTGGAGATATCCCATTTGATGTTTGCAGATGACACTTTGGTTTTTTGTGACACGGATGAGTCTTAGATGAGGTACTTGAGTTGTCTTTTGACATGGTTTCAAGTCATTTCCGGCTTAAAGGTGAATGTGGGTAAAAGTGTCTTCGTTGCTGTTGGGGGAGGTTCCGGAGATTACTCTTGTTGACATTCTGGGTTGCAGCATTGGCTCTTTTCCTATTTCTTATTTGGGGTTGCCGCTTGGGGTGCCATTGAGGCGAGTGGGATATTGGGACCTTGTTGTGGAAAGGTTTGAGAGGAGGTTGGCTGGGTTGAAGATGCAGTATCTTTCAAAAGGTGGGAGAGTCACTTTGATGGAGAGTACTTTGTCGAGTCTTCCAATTGGTTTTGGTGGTCTGGGTATTAGAAGATTGGTACCTTTTAATAAGGCCTTTTTGGGCAAGTGGCTGTGGAGATTTGGGGTGGAGAGGCATAGACATTGGAGAAGGGTGGTTGCGAGCAGATTCGGGGAGGAGAGAGATGGTTGGTGTTCTAGGGAGGTGACTATCCCTCATGGTGTTGGGGTTTAGAAGTCCATCCGGAAAGGGTGGGATGAATTCTCAAAACACATTAGATTTCGGGTGGGGGATGGGAGGAGGATCCACTTTTGGGAGGATATTTGGTGTGGTGATCATTCTCTGGCCTTCACTTTTCCCAAGCTTGTTAGGATTGCTGTGGACAGACATGCTTTTGTGATTGACTGCTATTGTCTTGATAGTGGGAGAACTGTTTGGGACATTCGTTTCTTGAGTCACTTTCCGGATTGGGAGATCGAGGATGCCACTGGTCTGTTGGAAATGGTCTATAGACAGGAGTTTACCGGCGATGTTTCTAACTCATCGGTGTGGGTTCCTTCTTCCCAGGGTTGTTTTGGTGTTCGGTTTTTCTACAGGTTTATTACGGAAGCCCATGGGGAGTCTTTCCCATGGAAGGCTATTTGGAGATCCAAGGCCCCTCTCAAAGTGGCTTTTTTTGCATGGACTTCGGTGTTGGGGAAAATCTTAGCCCAGGACAACTTAAGAAGGAGAAGATAGGTTGTGGTCAACTGGTGAGAGATGGGAAAACGATTGATCACCTTCTTTTGCATTGCCCCATGGCTTGGGATTGCTGGGTCTTATTGTTGAGTTTGTTTAGGGTTCAATGGGTTATGCCCAGGTCCCTAGAAATTTGATTGAGGCTTGGCGAGGTTGAATAGTGGGGGCCCAAGTCTGTGATTTTTGGAGGGTTACGCCTCTTTGCATTTGGTGGTGTTTATGGCTTGAAAGAAATAGGAAGTCCTTCGAAGGAAAGGAGACTCCTATGGGGGAGTTCAAATTCTCTATTATAAACACTCTTTTTTGTTGGGTTATAGGGAGATATTGTAAATCCATGGAGAAGATAGTTGATTTTTTGGACTCTCTGAGAGTTTAGAGGCCCTATTAGGCCTTGTGTATTTTCTGAGGGATGCGTTCCCCTTTTGAATGCTTCTTTGTACAATCTTTACTTATAAAAAAAAAACAGGAGACTGTAAGAAACCTAATTGCAACCATGCCAAGCCTTTTTGAAAGAAAAAAGACCATTATCCCACAACAAAGTATCAGTACCTTGAACAATAGAAATAAAAGTAATATAGTACTTCACATTTTTCATATCAGCACCCAAAAAGTCTAATGACCAAGCACCATTACAAATGACAGTATTCAGAGTAGCTTCTCTAGAGAAATGAAACTGTCTAACTCACCTCTGACCAAACCTCAGCAATAATTTTTGGCCTCCACACCAAGCATCATTGAACATGCTGAATGCTGATCCAGAGCAGATTCTAAAATTCACATGCTGCAACATAGTATCTCTCACTGACAGCAACAGAATGAGTAGGAGAAGAAATAGCCAGGCAATAGGAAGAATTCCTAGCATATCTCTATTAAAAACCATGCTATCCATAGATTATCCTTCCTATGCAACATATGCTAAACCATAGGACAGGTAAAAGCTCTTTGAATATCACAAAAATTCCTGATGCCAAACCCTCCTTCAGCTTTAGGCCTACACACCATCTTCCAACTCAAATAATGGAACTTTCTGACCATGTCATTGCCACCCCACATAAATCTTTTCATCTTTCTTTGGATCAATATAAGGACATCTGCAGTCAGATGAAAACACAGCACACCAATGAGCAACAGAAGGTGTAATTATAGACTTGATCAATTCAGCCCCTCCAGCCAAAGACAGCCTTCTATTGGACCACAACATTAATCTGGCATCAATATTATCGAACAACGGCTAAACGCACGTGATTTCAACCCCACACAGTACAGAGGCAAGCCAAGATACTTTTTTTTTTGATAAGTAGAGGCAAGCCAAGGTACTTGATTGGAAACTACCCTCTTTGAACTGGAAAATACTCAAATTATTCCTCTTTCTTCTAACTGCCTTAACGGGGAAAAAAAGAAGATTTATCCTTGTTAGCAGCTAACCCTGTAACATTCTGATAAGATTCTAGCACTTTCTCCACATTCAAAGAACCTCTACTGTTTCCATCTGTAACTATCATTAAGTCAGCTGCAAAAAGCAAATAAGTAAGGTTAGAATCAACTCTCAGAGCTTCTTGAGAAGGATTGCTCCCACCATTCCTCACTTCCTTTTCCATCAAAGTAGAAAAATACTCCCCAATTAATGTGAAAAGCAGATGAGAAATAGGACAACCCGCCTTAGACCTCTGCCAGGTTTGAAAAAACTTTTAGGAGATCCAGTTATAAGAATACTTATCAAAAAGGAAATCCTGTTATAAGAACAGAAAACCAAGCTGAATTCAAACATTCACTAATCCACTTGATCCAATTATCCCCAAACCAGAACTTCTGAAGAATTTGAAGCAGAAAAACCCAAGAAACTGGGTCATAAGCCTTGGTCA